TAGAACAAATAAAGGAAAATATATTTGTGGCAACTCGCGGTGCTTGAATGGCCCACGTGACCGTGTCTGGGAGCTTCACACATGGGCGACCAGCTCCTGATGACGTCACAGTGCACCTTGTCCACGTCCCCCACACCCAAAATAAGTAGAATTTGGTATGTATTTTTACATAGACATGTTCAGGGAAGGGAATTTATCATTTTATAAATAAAAAAGAATTTTTTGGGAACACTTGATTTCATGCGCACAGGGGGAGAATGTCGCAATAAACTCTGGGCATCACAGTGGTTAAGGACAAAATTTAAATATGTAGTGGGGATGTTAAGCCAGCATCTAAAGAGGCATGAAAACAAATTAGAAAGAATTCACATATATGCAACAAAATTGTTCATGTATCTGAACTTCAAAGACAGAAATTAGATCCACTGGAGTTATCTAAATTATATGAGAGGGAAAATGTGGAGACATCATCACCAAGTGGGCCTAACAAATAATTATAGGCCTGGTCACAAACAAGAGAGAACAAATGTAGCTTTAAGGTGTACAGATAAGTTAAAAAAAAATACTTTTTTTTTATAAAAAAAAGACCTTTTTTGTGACTTCTGTAATCCTTCTGTATTACTGTTCAAAGGATGAGAATGGAGTGAACAGTAAACTAACCACCTATTGCAGCAACAATCATGATGGAGAAAGAAATCTAACACATTTATGTTCACTAGATAAATTATAGAATAAACTACAGGGAAAAGATTGTACTGTATGTGCAAAAAAAAGCACGCTTTAAAAGTCTTGCAATAAAAAGAAAGAAAGAAATATATTGTATAAAGAAAGATGTGAAACCATAAACCTAGTTCTCTTTTTGTAACTACAATTACAAAATTTCAAGAGTAAATTTTTTTGTAAATTTTACCTAAAATGCAAAAAGATTCATTGGTTATTATGCCCATTTTATGTATACATAAAGGATTACAAAAATTTTTTGTAAATTTTACCTAAAATGCAAAAAGATTCATTGGTTATTATGCCCATTTTATGTATACATAAAGGATTACAAAAATTTTTTGTAAATTTTACCTAAAATGCAAAAAGATTCATTGGTTATTATGCCCATTTTATGTATACATAAAGGATTACAAAATTTTTTTGTAAATTTTACCTAAAATGCAAAAGATTCATTGGTTATTATGCCCATTTTATGTATACATAAAGGATTACAAAAAAATTTTGTAAATTTTACCTAAAATGCAAAAGATTCATTGGTTATTATGCCCATTTTATGTATACATAAAGGATTACAAAAAATTTTTGTAAATTTTACCTAAAATGCAAAAAGATTCATTGGTTATTATGCCCATTTTATGTATACATGATGAGATTTATTGCTTTGGGAATACATTTAGTGGAATATTGAGTTTTTTCATGAATTTTATTTTAAAATTCTTTAATGATTTATACTAAAAGTGCGCGGTTTCCTAAAACAATTTAAAATCAGAAAAAATGCTGTTAGACCCCAATTCAACATTTTCCCATTGGCTCTGACTAAAATGCAATAATGCAACTAAAGGGCTAATTAGATGAATGAGTTTTTTGCATTTAAACTGAATGGTTTTATCATGAATGCAAAACAATCAAATCAGTATTAAAATACTTCTTAAACACATTTTTACACAAATTAGCAAATATTTAAACAATATTCGCCACACTATGGTAAAATGTTTTCCCTTTGTAGACTATCATTTTGCCAAACACTTAAGGCAAAATGCTTTATGCAAACACTTAAGGCAAAAGTGCTTTGCCAAGCACTTAAGGCATAATGCCCATTATGCAATAAATGAAAACTTGATAAAAAATCTAATTTTTTTTTTTTACTAGTATATGAAAAGGGCTTCAACTGGTCCAGGTCACAGCATCGTAGTTTAAATAGAAAAGGAGAAAAAAAATGTTGAATTATGTGTCAATTTTTTTTAAAATATTAAAAAATTAACATCAAATACAAGTGTCAATTGAAACCACGTCTATGACTCTCAGCTATCACAATAGCATATAATAAAAAATTTATTAATTAGTTTTATCCAAAAAATATTTAGTTACAAAAAAAAAATAGACTTTGATTTTCTTCTAATTTATTTCTCCTTTTTTTATCGGACGATTTGCATGAAACTTATACATCTTACTGAACGTATGCCTATCTGTAAGGGTGCTATACTTGGAGGAAATTGGTTGATGTCAACCTCAGCCACAGGTGGCAGAACCTTTGACTTTATTTTTTTCAAGTAACGTAAAAGTGACTCTACTCTTTCATTTTTTATTCAATTTACATGAAACTTACACCTTATATGTAGAGTTTATATCTCTAAAATTAATCCAAGATACTTTATTCCTAAGTTCATTTATTGATTTTATAAATATTTATAAACATAATAGTTTTGCATAAATTTTGGGGGAACTTTGACAATTTTTATTAGTAAAACTAAACATATTTTGGATAACCTGCTTGGTAAAATCCTTTATTATACAGTATGCCAATGTGATAGATGAGTGTCATAGAAATGATTTCATTTGAAACTTGTGGTTGTAGAGTAATTTTGAAAATGTTGAAAATTCGTTGAACAATTATTGCTTTTTTTTCTCCCTTTCTGTTTAGGCTGGGATACTGAAACTTGGAACAGTTGCAGCCCTTTTCATATACAACTAGTCAATAACGTTTGATTGACATTGAACAACTTTTAATATCTGGCGTTATGCCAGATATTAAACTGCACCACTATTCTCAAGATATTCTACACAACTATTCTCAAGATGTTGATCAGTTTTCAATAGGATGGCTTGAATTACTCTGTAATAAATATACATTACTATTTGACGGCTGATTTAAAACCATAATTATATTTGCCACAAAAATATACTGTTTTGTATACTCAAGTCCTGTAACCAAAGAAATAAACTACAAAAGCTCTATTAAGTGATGTATTTAAGTTTCTAAATCAGCATGACTATACAGTACCACTATTATGACTGGTAATTTTAAGGCTCTTAAAACATCAGCATTCATACATTTTTATATACAGTAGTGATAATTTTTATGTTGACCAGACCACACACTAGAAGTTGAAGGGACGACGACGTTTCGGTCCGTCCTGGACCATTCTCAAGTCGATTGTGAGAATGACTTGATCGACTTGAGAATGGTCCAGGACGGACCGAAACGTCGTCGTCCCTTCAACTTCTAGTGTGTGGTCTGGTCAACATACTTCAGCCACGTTATTGTGACTCATCGCCTGCATAATTTTTATGTTTTACATAATCTATTTTCAACAATTTTCATTGCAATTCATGCAAAACACCCTCTGACAGTCATTTTTAATTATCATAACTTGGCTTCAATAAACCAAGCACTGCATATACTGCATTATGTGTTTATTTGGGTTAATGAATAATTATTCTAAGGTCATATATATATTTCATAATTGCATAATCATTATGTATAATGTATAGTATTTGTTAGTCATTAGTACTGTATTCCCAATTGACTTTAAAGGGAAGTCGTTATGGCTATGTCATTGTACAACCAGAAGCTTTTCATGTACAAACAGCTTACTTTGGATCTAACAACCTGTTACAATTTCAATTCCTTTGTACATAATATGTACTCTAAATATTTTAATCCTTTGAAAGAGCATGTGCTCTAAATCTTCATAATCTTTTGTGAACCACATCTACTTCAAATCTTTAAAAAATATGCAAGCTGTTTAAGTGTTTTCTTGAAGTTCCCTTTCAACTTGCTCTTTTTAAGTAAATTAATTCATATAATTAATGAATTAACCATAATGAATTAACTCGAATAATGGATAATGATCACCGAGTCATACTATATAAAATGTTCATGATTTTGCTGAAATGTATTACAATGCCTGGGAAAACTAATAATATAATTGATTATAGGAAACACATTTTGCACAGAGCAAAGATACAAAACAAAGAATTAAGTAAAGAACACTTAACAAATAGAGTGGGGGAAGTATGTGAAAACTCAATTATACATGAGAAAAATAAAACTGTATATATAAAGGCCATCCATATTATAATTACCAGTACATTAAAAATTTCAATATCATTTTTTTGAAGGCATTACTCACTTGTAATGACAGATGATCTGCTTCTTATATCACATAGATCGATCTTTGATATGTACAAGCTAGTTATTTTGGAAAGTGACAACTCTAAGTTAAACAAAAAAAAAATATTTCTTGGGCAGAAAATTAATGAGAAATACTCTAAATGAGTCCTTTAGTACCTAAATTTAACACAGAAAAAAGTCGACTGACACTGGTGAACGGCTGTGGTCCAACTTTATATGCATGCAAGTCCATGCTTCACTGAAACAATCATGCACAAACATCATGTATTTCTCTGACAAGAAACAATAAATGCCTTATAAGCTCAAATATGGTATTTCTTTTATCTATATATATTTTAAGTGGTATTTTAATGCTATTCCTAAATTTCAGAGATTAATAGGAATAATGTTTGGCCTGCTGAAAGGGCACAGGTGGGTATGTGCATATAACTACTCCTGATTACAGGTGATTTGGTGTGACTAACTTAACTAACATCAACCTCACCACTCAGAATATCTTATAGTTGGAACAACAAAATCAACTCAATAAATAATAGAACATATCTACACACTTAAAAGAACAAAGAACAAGGCACACACAGCATCTCAAACATGTAAGGGTGATGCGGGTGGGCAGATATATGGGCATGCACCAGCTCAATCAATTGGGCAGGAAGAACCACCAGTTGAATAACTAATAATTATTATCTTCCCAATCCACAACCTTCACCGAATTCCTTCCTGAGCCAATTCATAGGGTTACTGCAAATTTCAATTAATTTCTTCTGAAAGTTATTTAAATTTATATTTTATGAATTATATATATAAGATAAGAATACGATAAGGGTGTGGACTTGGGTGGTTGGACGTGTGATTGTCTTACCTTCAACCTTGTTGTGGGGTATGGGCGCCAGCTGGGGCGAGGGCGCCTGGGCGTACTGGCCGTACACGGGCGCAGGATACACAGCTGCAAGAGGGCGGGGTGGACACTGTCAGCCACACACACACACACACACACTCACACACACACAGACACACAGACACATACATGCCGTCGCTACATCGTGGACACTACTGCACCACTGCACCAACTCTACTCTACCCTCAACTACATGGTTATTTATATAGCTAACAATACATCAACACCTTAAACACTTTCGTCTTACTGAACATCACTACTCTCTTAATGTTTTGAAATATAAACAAAGCTAATACTGTAATGTTTAATATGTAATAAATTCTATTCATAAAATTGAAATCAAATATGATCCTTAATACACAGAACATTTAATGATTAAGATTAAAGATTAAGAGAGTACTTATATTATTAATTAGAAATACTAAACCCTCATAAGAATCCAAACTATTTAATATTAATGGTTCAAGAATTTTGAGGTTTATAAAAGTCAAAACAAACAATCTGCCCCTACTATGTAATGTTTTATAAGGAAATTAATTTTTAATGAAAAGGTTAAAGCTCCATGGTAAATATTTTATGTATATGAAAGAGTATAAACCTTCATTAAATATGTAAGAGAAGTACTGTATATGATTTTTTGAAGCAGGCCTATTGTGTTTTTTTATTTTAGACCCAAACTATAATATTAAATAATGCTCCACTGTATGGTAATGAATCAAAAACTTTATAAAGTCCTAAGTATAGTATACACTTTCAAAATCCTTTAAGTTATTACTAGAAACAATAAGTCTGAACAAATATTATTAACATCAAAAGAACAACACTTCACAACACTGCACATTAACAGCTTACTATTGAATATTAACATATTAACATTAATTAAGGTTCCAAACGTAGCACAGTAGTAGATCCCTCAACAGTGCAATTTAATGTCTCTACCTGTGACTCAATGTAACAGTGCAATTTAATGTCTCTACCTGTGACTCAATGTCGAGACAAGAGCTATCTTTGACCAGACCACACACTAGAAATTGAAGGGACGACGACGTTTCGGTCCGTCCTGGACCATTCTCACGTCGATTGTGAATGGTCCAGGACGGACCGAAACGTCGTCGTCCCTTCAATTTCTAGTGTGTGGTCTGGTCAAACATACTTCAGCCACGTTATTGTGACTCCTCGCCTGCAAGAGCTATCTTAGTGCAGAATGTTATAGTCTAAATATATGATCACATTCTTTTATTCAAATAAACAAATTTCTACATACTCTATAATGCTTTTTATATTTGTTAGCATTGAAAAAAAAATATCAGTAAAGTTGAATTAATCAGAGATATACGGTACTCTACACTACACACAGTGCATACTACTATTGATTTCTAAGTGAAAATCATGGCTTTCACCATATATAAAAATGTAAAGATTTTGCTAGAAAAAAATTAAGCTCTTATAAAATTTGATCATTTTTATATAATTAATCTCTAAATATTTGAATAAATATATATATATCTGTATAGCATATATATTCTGAATAGTAGTAGTAACTAATCTATTATCCATGCTAATAACCACTGAAATCTAACCAGACACCAACATTTTTGGGGGACCACTAAATCAGATATATTTACTACAGTAAAATATACTGCATGTAGAAATGAGTACAGTACTGTACTATAGAGTACAATGCTCATAATTTTCAGAAGCTAGCATTGTACTGATCTCAAATTTAGTAATATTATTGTAAATATTATTTCTTTATTAATAAACAAACTGAATTAGTTGATGGAATAATTACTGCAATTTGTTTTGGCTCTATCTACTGTATTTAGCTATCAATACCAACAAAATAGAGGAAACACAGGGTTTATTAATATGAAAGTAATACTTAAGGGGCTCGGTGCATGTGGAGACTTTTCCAAATATGAAAAATAGTGAAAAATGTTAAACAATCTCCCGTTATTTGGCATCAGCATCGTGAAAATTTCTTCCTAATGTGTTAAGAAATGGATTTGTTACAAATTTTTTCAAAATAAATGCGTGCGCAACGGGTACTGATAATAGCGATAACACCCCTTATTTACTGGAAATCAGGGATAGAGAGATGCAAGCACCTGTCTAACACACAAAGAAGATGAGTAGTAGTAAGTTAGGTCCTCAAAGTGGATATGCCACAATGCCACCTGGAGGGCTAGATTTCACACATAATAATGAGTTAGTATGTTATTATAATGTATTCTATTATATATATTATGTAAATATATTGCCCAATGGCAATATTTTTTATATCCCCTTTGTACGAAAAGCTGACAAACACTTTTTTTCTCTCTCCTTTTTTTTTCTATGCAGATTTTGTTGTGACTTTTACATCTATGCCCGAAATTTATGCCCGAAACGCTTTGCGTAATAGTGGCTTTAGGCATTGTATGTACTAGCTCTACCTATAAGTCAAACAATCCTTGTAAATATTTATTGTATGTATGTACCTTACCTAAATAAAATTGTATTGTATTGTAAATTGTATTGTATCTTGCAGAATGCATATCTGGCACTAAGCATGTGAAGTTGGAACGAAATTGGTCAACATGTTAATCAGCCACAGGTGGCAGGAAAAGTGACTTACTTTTATTTGGCCGATTTATTTACAGAGTTCAAACAATATTCTCTTTGTCTATTTAGCTTGTATTGATGAATGAGGACCAGATGAGGGCCTTATCACTAATAAATGGGCAATAAAGTTATTGCAATATGTATGTTTCGTTATAAGAACGTAAGAATGAAGGTAACTGCAGAAGGCCTATTGGCCCATATGAAGCAGCTCCTACTTATATCCACTCAATCTCATTCATATATATGTCTAAACTACTGTTAGACAGTTAAGGGGCCCAGTGTCTGTTTTACAGTTATCCCTAACATATCCCTATATTTTGTTTTTTTTTGGGGGGGGGGGAATTTTTTCCTTGACTTCATTTCAACACATATTGACCTACAACTTTCACATATTTGAGTACGAATGCCAAGCAATCTTAATTATAGGTTACAAGATATGTCATTAATTAGAAGTACAGTACTATATTCATTGTCGAGAACTTTAAATGCATTTTTCTCTATGAAAAACATTTTCGACTTTGAGACCTATTAAAAAACCAGCTTTGACAATATGAAATGTCATTTTCTGGGCGAGTCCCGGAGGCTTCCCTGGAGCTATCCAGGCTGATATGGATATCCCTAACTTTGGCATTAGTCGATGTGGGTGGAGTTCTAGGCCTACCGGGGCCCACGAGCCAGAACCTGGCCCCCTCAGAGAGGCACAAGGAGCAATGGCCTATAGAAATGCACATGTGATTTGGAAGCATTCTATATCTGCCATTGATTGGGACAGGCACCCAGAAAGGTAAGCGCCCCAAAACAAACCCCTATTCTGGCTAAAAACGATGAAAATAGACAAACGAGTGGCTAGAACTCCCCAAATAAAAACGAACAAATGAGAATGACATCAGCATAACATCCCCCCTCCCTGAGAGGGGGAAGGGGGAGCCCCAGACCTTTGCGTCAGCGACCTGAGAGACCCGTACCCGCGAACAGGGAAGAAGGGAAACCAGATCAACCCAAAGCTTGTCCCCGGACGCAGAAGCCGTGGCGCGCATATAACGGCGGAGGGCCACAACCGAACACAACACATGATGCACCCCTGGCCTGGCCAAGCAAACATCAACAACCCAAGGACTCCTCCGGAAAGCAGCAGTCTCATTCTTTGCCAGAAAAGAAGGAGACAGCTGAAGACAAATAAACCTCTTACCACGACCAAAAGAGCAGAAACCCCTGCCCAGGAGACAAGCATGAAGCTTCGCAACTCAACCCCCAGAGGCCAATGCCAACAGGGAAAGATCCTTAGAAAAACAATCCTGAACCGAAAGCACCACAACAAACCGAGGAGAAGAGAGAGATAGGAAAGCACTCTTGTCCAATGACCAGGACGGCTCAGGCGGCGCATGAGGTTACCTTGAGGAGCTTCCGGGGCTTAATGTCCCCGCGGCCCGGTCGTCGACCAGGCCTCCTGGTTGCTGGACTAATCAACCAGGCTGTTGGACGCGGCTGCTCGCAGCCTGACGTATGAGTCACAGCCTGGTTGATCAGGTATCCTTTGGAAGTGCTTATCCAGTTCTCTCTTGAACACTGTGAGAGGATTGCCAGTTATCAGGCCAGAGGTGAAACAATGCACGAGAAAGCTTGCAAAATCGCACAGAACTAACATCTATACTGATAGCAAGCTGCAGCGGCTCCGCCAACACTGCATGATATGAGGTGACAGTATTCGGCATAAGAAGACAGTCCTGGAACAACCAGGAGAGAAAGGACACCACCATCTGTACCGAAAGCGAAGTAGAATGATGAAATGTCAAAAAGAACCAGAAGGACCATCAGGAAACTTCATACTGCCGCCAAGATGAAGCCCTCAGGTGTGACACCATCAAGGAAGCCACCTGATCACCATACAAATGGTGATAAAGTCAAGTCAAAAATACCAAACGCGAAGACTCGAGGAGAAGAGCGAACCAGTCTTGTAATGGACCAGGCCAATCTGTTGAAAGAGGCATAGCCATGGGAAAAACCTCCGTTCAAGGGAAAAACCCCTTGCCCGGGGTTCAGACACCGGGCAAGCAGCACCTGAAACCATGGCTGGGCCTGCCACCATGGGACCACGAGAACTAATCGCCCCTGGTAAGTCTCCAAGCGAGCCAGGACCTGGAGCAACAGCTGAACTGGGGGGGAAGAGATACAGGAACCCCCACCTCATCCAGTGCTACCAGAAGGTGTAGATCCCGACGACCTCACGGTCAGCAAAGGGCTCCACATATACCAGAAGATGCCTCGACCACGCCAAGGTGAAGAGGTCCACCTCTGGGTGCCCGAATGTCTGGCAAACCCAACTGAATGAGTCAGCATCGACCGTCCATTCTGTGGACAGGAGAACGAACTAGGACAGGCCATCCACCAGAACGTGGGACACCCTCTGGACGTGAACCGCCAGGAGAGCCAAACCCTGAGAACTC